TTTAAAACCCCCATCGCTTTGGGCGTCGAAAAAGAAAATGCAAATGACATTTCAGTTTAAATTTTGGAAACTTTTCGTTTTTGGAGCATTTTGTAGGATTTTTGATGAAAATAAAAATGTTTAAAGATAGGATAAAATTAAAATTTCCCAGAGACAAAAGAAAAGATTAGTGATCTGGTGTATTTTTACCGAACAGTTTCTTGTTTTTTTTTTGCATGATAATTTTTTTTCCCCCTCGTTAGGGACCTTTTTTTCTTTATATATTTGTATTATGAGCGTATTTGGGGTTAAAAAGTTATAAAGTGCCCCTGGTTTTAAAAATGTAAACTTACTTTGCCTGGTGTTAAAAAGAAAGTAAAAAAACCTGAGAATTGAAACTAAAGAGAATAAATTGTTGTTATTAGTCCCCCTTCTTTTTCATTAAGAGGGGGCTAAAGGGTGACCCCTTTTTGTATGTCAATGAAAGTGAAAATTTTGGGTATTTAAAAAAATGGTTAAAAAAGTAAGGTTCATCATTATTTTTGGTTTTTTTAATTTTTATATTAAAAAAACTTTTAAGGGGATTTAAACATGTTTTTTTATTTTTAAATTTATGCCCGCCTGAAATAGGGGGGGAGAATATAATTTGGGTTTAACCTCCCGTCGGTATTGGAATTTAAAGTAAAAATTTTTTGGGTTTTAAATTTTTCTGTGTTCTTCCATTTCCAAATTTTACTTTTGGGGAAAAAAAGGGTTTTCCCCATTTTGGGGGGAAAATTATTTTTTTTTTTAAAGGGGTTTTTTGGGGAATTTTTGTTTTATAAAGGAAAAAAAACCATAGTCTTTAACTTTAAAACATTTTGGTTTTCCCCTTTACACCCCCCTTGTCCCGAAATATGAATATAACTAGATTTTGGGATTTGAAGGGGAATTTTTTTATTTTTGAATTTTTTCCAAAAGTGATTTTGAGACATTTTAAGAGGAAAGTGCAATGTTTCAAAAACCCTAAACTCCTTAAATTTGCTTTCATTTTTAATTAATTAAAACCTTAAAAATTTAAAAAATGCTTTATTTAAAAAAACTGAATCTTTTAAATTCAAAACTTGGGAAAACTTTTGAAATTTTCCCAATTGGTCAAAAAAACCCAAAAAACCTCCATTTCCTTTTTGTTTTTAGCTCCCCCTGTTTTACCCCAAAGTTTTACAGGGGGCAAGCTTTTTGGTTGATCCCTTTTTCGTTTTCCCGGGCCCGGTAAAATTTTATTTTAAATTAAAATTTCATTTTAAACCCCGAATAACCTAATTACCAAACCTTTAAAAGAATGTTTCCCTTTGGGGTTTTCCCTTTAAAAATTGGGGCCAAAAGGAATTTAATTCCCTGCTGAACTCTGGTTTTCCCTGGGAACCCGAAAAGGAAAAAAAATTTTAAATAAAATTTATCTTTAAAAAAAACCCCTAAAAAGCTAGAGCTTTGATATTTGGCTTGGGGAAACAATCCCTTTAGTGGGGGTTTTAACCAAGGTTTTTTTAAAAAAAGCCCCCGGGGGCAAATTGGGCCCCCCCCAGGGGTCATTGATTTTCCCTATGTGGGATATAGTAAAATTTATAAATTTTTCTTTTAAAAAAACCCAAAAAACTAAAAGCTAAAATATTAAGCATTTAAACAAACATTAATTTAGGTTTTCCCAAATTTGTTCAAATAAAAAGGCCCGGGGTCAAAAATTGGTCCTGCCCCAGGGGGGCCCTTAAATTTTTTAAAAAGGGAATTTAGTAAAAAATTTAAAAAAAACTTCTTTTTAAAAAAACTAAAAAGACTAGAGTAAAGATATTTAGCATGGAAAAAATTTCTAAGGTTTAGTGTTTTACAAAAAAATTGTTAAATAAAAGCCCTGGGGGTCAAAATTTGGGTTTCCCCGCCCCCAGGGGGTTTATTAATTTTCTTTAAATGCCCAAATTTGTAAAAACTTAAAATTTTTTTTTTTAAAGAAACCCAAAAAGCTAGAGCTAAAATATTTTTGGGATGAACAAACCTTTTAATGGGGTTTTCCCAAACCCAAATTTGTTCAAAAAAAAAGCCCCGGGGGCAAAATTGGCCCTTTCCCCGGGGAATTCCCTTGATTTTCCCATATTGCAATTTTTAAGTAAAAAAACCCCCTTAAAAATCCCCTTTTTTAAAAGAACCCAAATAGCTAGAGTTATTATTAATTAGGTTGGAAAATTTTCTAGGTTTAGTTTCTAAAAGGGTTTTTTCAAATAAAAACCTGGGGTTTAAAAACTGGGGCCCCGCGGGCCCCGGGGGTTGTATTTGGGTTTTTTAACAGTAAAGTGTTAAAATAAAAACCTTAAAAAAAACTTCTTTAAAAAAACCCAAAATTTCAATTTAAGGGGCTAAATTTTTAATTTTTTTTTTACAATTTTTTTAATTTTTCTTATGGGGTTCTTCCAAATTTGTTTTTAAAATAAAAACCCCTTTTTGGGGGTTTAATTTGGCCCCTTGGGAGGAATGGGGAAAAAGGGGAAAATACAGGTTAAACCAACCTCAGAGCCATCATTTGGCCCCCTTTTATTTAAAAATTTTTTTTACCTTTTATTATACATGTTTTTAATTATGGGTTGTCCAGAGAAATAAAATGGAAAAGAAATTGTGAAATTTTTTTTTAAACTTTTTTCACAGCGAAAATCAAGTGAAGGAAAGGTTTTTTTTTTTAAAGAACCCTAATTTTTTTGGGGTCGCCTTTAAAAGGTGACCCTAATAAAGGGGGTTTTCTTTTGTTTCGGGGCGGGGCCTTTTGTCGTTTTTCGGCCCTCCCTAAAAAGCTTGTCCCCCCGGGGTCTTTAATCACTATTTTTAAGGGGGTTTATTGACTTCAAAACCTTGGATGCACAAAAGCTTTTCTTTTAAATAAACCCGGGGAAGTGGGCCAAAAAAAAATTTTCCACAAGGGGACGGGGTAATCCTTTTTTGCCCCCTTTCTTTAAAATTTTTTAAGTTTTTTTGCCCTTTGTTTTTGTTAATTTTTTGGGGTTAAATTTAAAATTTTTTTTCCCCGGGCCATTTCTCTTCACAAAAAAAAGCTATGGACTTGATACTTCACTAGGATGATAGATCTCATTAAGAAAAAGTGCAGTGCACAAGAACCAGTACACTGTACTTCCTAATTTTTGAGTTATTGCCCCTTTTGTTAATTTTCATATTTTAATTTTTGTCCGGGCCATTTCTCCTAATGAAATAAAAGCCATGGACTTCGAAACTTCATTAGGATGTTAGGTCTCATTAAGAAGAAGTGCAGTGCACAAGAACTGTTTACTCTGCATTTCTTATTTTTTTGAGTTATTTGCCCTTTGTTTTTTCATACTTTTAAATTTTGTCCGGGCCATTTCTCCTTAAAGTATAAAAGCTATGGACCCTTGAAACTTCATAGGATGATAGATCTCATAAGAAGAATGCAGTGCACAAGAACTCGGTACTCTGCATTTTTCTTATTTTTTGAGTTATTTGCCCATTGTTGATTTTCTTTCTTTATTTTTTGTCCTGCGTCTATTTCTCCTTCAAATTTGAAAAATATGGATTGAAACATCATAGTATGAAGATCTTATTGATAAGAAGTTTCAGTGTTCAGGGAAAAGTACTCTTTAACTTATTTTTTTTTAAATTTTGGCCCCTTTTTATTTTTCTATTTCATTTTTTTTCCCGGCCATTTTCTCCTAAACTACATTGTTAAAAAGGCGACACATCCAATTTGCCCGGAAATTTAGTTTCCTGCTTAATTTTACCCAAAATTTTCAACTCTTAAAAAAACATTTTACAAAAACTTTTAAAAAAATGGGGTTTTCTGGATAAATTTTTTCAATGATATTACACTTTAAAACTTAAAAAAAAGTTGAGAGCTGTGAGGGAGAAAATCTTGTGTCAAAAAACCAAAAACTAAAATTACTTTTGGGTTTTGGGAAATTTTTCCGTATATATTTCATGAAAACTGTTTGGGGAAAAAAGGATTAAAATATTGAAGGAATTTTTATTGAAAACTTTAAAAAACGTTATACCGTGGGAAAAAGATTAGCATGAAAAATTGCGTAAACAAAGGCCCTTATAAGTTCTAAAAGAAATGGCCCATTCATATAAATGTGATGCAAAAAATATTGACCATTTTAGTGTTTAAATTGAAAACTGATACAAAAAATTTGATAAAATAAATTTACAATTTATTATTTTTTTTTATAGCTTTTTTCCCCCCCTTTATAAATTCCCGTGTTTTAAAAAATCAAGCTGCATTTCTCTGGGTTTGCCTTTTAATTTACTTGTTGCTCTTGTTTAAAAAAAACCAATAAAAGGGTTTTTGATCGCCTACACGTACATGTAACCTAAATATTATTAAATTTTTAAAATGTTTGTCCCTAGAATAATTGTATAAAAATAAATGTTCATTTAAAATGAAATTTTGCACTTTATATTTTCAACCCGGGAAAAAACCCTTTACTCATTGAATTTATCTGCCCCCCAAAAAAAAATAGTTATTTTTATCCCTTTATAAAAGTCCCAAATTTCGTGCCCTTTAGCAAATTTGATTTTTAAACTGAAAAATTACTCTTCTAATGAAACCCATTTTAAATTTTTAGATTTTCTAAATTTTGTCAGGGTGGTTATAAAAAACTGTCCCTTTTAAATTTTGGGAACTGGCAATTATTAAACCCCCCCGCACCAAAAGGGCGTATTTTTTTCACAATTGACCACCGAGCGTGTAAACCCGATCTCTATCATAAAGTTGTAAAAAATATTCCCTTTTGCAACTCAAAAAAATTTTCCAGCCCTTCCACTGTAAACCAACCAACCCCCCCCCAGTTTGTTAAATTGGGCTTCTTCCCCCGGGTATAAATTTTAACTTACCCGTTTAGCCCTAGGCACTGTTTCCCCCAAAAAACTTTTATCTCTAAATTTGAAGTTCGTTTTTCTCCATATGAAAGTCAGTAACTTTAAAAGATCATTAACCCAAAGCCAGAATCAAACCCTCTTTAAACACAAGCCCTTTCTAAACTCAGTCCAGTTTCGATAAAAATCTGTTTCTCCATTCAGTCTTCTTTGAAATACTATCCAACCACCGCCGTCTGTAGATTGATCACAGTAAACTTTAAACCCCTGTACCAATTTGTATATTACATTTTCAATGTTGCTCATATGGTGTACCCATGGTTTTCGACAGGAATTACCAAAATGTAAGGAGTTGATGTGCGAGAATAAATTAGTTACAAGTATTTTAATGTTTTCAATCTGTTTAGCCATTTCCTTATCATTGACAGTGTTTAGTTGTACCTGTTCTGATATACTTTTAAGCAATTTACGTTCATTTTCAGACATAAATATAACGTCGTCAGACATATTTTTGGCCGTTACAAAGTTGGTTAATAATTGCTCAGTATTATTAACAGTTGCTTTGCAGTAACTGTTTACATCTTTGCTAAGAGAAACCAAATTGCTTTGAATCTTTGGAATTTCCCGTCGGAACCTTTTAGCCTCAGACTTTTCCCCAATGAACTCAGCCCTGAGTCTCGTAATATTCTATTCAAATGTATCCACTATTTCAAAATATATCTTACCAGTTTTTGTCGCCGCTGAAGGATTGAGCTGTTGTTTTCCAATGGTTTCATTTAACAATTTATCAATGCCATTCAGTCGCACTGTTATTTCAGGAATATCTTTGTCTCTGAGTGTAAATTCGAAGTTAAGTCTAGTTACTAAATGTTTGACAATTGACTTTAATCGATCAAGTTTTTCTGTTGAACTTGTCAAACCAATGATATATAATACGAGAAGAAAAACTTTCACTTTACCACATAACTGCATATCCATATTTGTTTTCCACCGTTTTTAAAGCTAGTACACACGATTCGTCTTGATCTATGATCTATGATTATTTTCTAAACAACTTGAAACAATCCAAGTTCTTTATCGATAAGAATAAAAATGTTGATACCGTTTGTTCAATATTCATTGGAATAATGGTGAAAGTTATCGTCATACATTCTTTATATTTCTAAATCTAAAGAGCCTTTATTGTTGTTTCATTTATGTCAAGTTGGCACTTTATTGCTCTTAGTTTCAAATTGGGTGTTGGCTTTTTTCTTGCCGCCTCTAAAAAAAACAAAAAACTCTTTATTCGAACAAGTAGGATCCAATTACATAACATGTCTTACGTTTTAAGGAGATGTACTTATTGTACATGATGTAATTATATCACTGATGCTTATGCAATAATAATAATAATAAAATTACACAGAGTAAAATGTTTTTAAAATGTATAGTCATTAGAGCCAAACCTAACAAGTGTATATTTTTTGTTTTACATAATGTCGCTATTTTTTCATGTAATTTGTAACCTTTGTCTATCACTTTATAACATACAAATGGTCCAACAGTAATGTTACAAATTTTCATATTTTCCGGCCTCATATGTAATCATAAGATAAAATGTTCATAGATGTGTTGCACTTTCATATAGAACACTTACAATAAACTCATTCCAGTTTATTAACGCTTTTATTCGTTTTATTCGTTAAATAGAATTCTATATGCTAACTTAGCTTATATCCTCTACATCAATCAAAGATTGTATCAGTTTCAATCTTATCATCCCTGATAAGATCATTTAACTATCGTGTCTGCGTAGCTGAAATAATTTTTATCTAATGTGTAACTAATGATATATCCGAATCAACATGTGGCAAAAATCAGTGTGGCAAAAGTTCTGACTGCTTTAAGAAAAAGATTCCCGTTTGCAAGTGTTTCTAGTTACTTGTTAACCTACACAAAGAATGAAAATCAAATTTGTATCACTTTTTTCAGATAATTATTTCAGATAATCAAATTACTGGTGACATAAAAATCCAGGTTGAGATGAATGTTAAACAAGCTTATCATCCTGAATCTTCATTCGATAAATACATTTAATTGTTGAGCTTTATGTCGAACTAGCTTGAAATCTCGACTCGACATATAATATTGACAAAAAATTCTCGACATTCAACTTTGATCAAATGTTGAGCATAATGTTGAGCCAGCTTCATTTCTCAGCTCGACATTCAATATTTATCACATGTTGAGTTGAATGTGAGGCCGGCTTCATATCTCAGTTCGACATTCAAGATTGACTAAATGTTGAGCTGAATGTCGAACCAGCTTCAATTATGTTTTATTATAAATTAAAAAGGAGCAACATGTATGCAAAGCATAGAAGAAAATCGTAAATTCGGTGGTAAATTATTCAATTTCATATTCGAAGTATTGTATATAGAAGCAAAGCTTATCAAAATTTCAACACCAAAAATCGAATTGTATACAATAATCTTGTTTTATTTATTATCATTTAACAATCCTGGTGATGGAATAGAAAATAATTAGAATGGTTAATATTAACTTGTTTTAATAAAAATCTCTTGTTTTGCTAAATATTGACTCAGCAATACCTCTCCGCTCGTCAATAAATAAATAAAGATCGGGTGTTAGTCAGCTTTACATCTCCGCTTGTCAATAAATAAATTAAGATCGAATGTTAGTCAGCTTTACATCTCCACCTGCCATTCAATTAAGTCGAATGTTGAATGCTACCCTTCTCAGCTGCTCGTCATTTGCTTTATGTCAGATGTTAAAGTGGATGTTTAGCCATCTTAAATTCACATCTAGTCACTAACTAATGATCTGATGTTGAGCTTAAACTTGGAATATAATCAAACAAATTCATGTTTTACAAATAAATAAAGATCACAGAGCTTACATCTATTGTTAATTATATATAAATATATTAAAGCATATAGTGATAGATTAATGACAGGCATATGCCGCCAGTATTGAGCACGGCGTTTCTGCGCTTCTGCGATTCTGATTATACTCAATACCGTTAGTTATTCGAATTTCGATGTCTTTGTACTTAAATCTACCAAAGGTCCTGAAAGATTACCTTAAATGGTCATAGCAAATCAATTTTCGTTGATAATGAATCATTACCCTACATCATTGAATATTTAAAAAAATGAAACAACTTGGTAAAAGATGCATCAATAAATATATATTTGCTAAATACATGCGCGAAGAAAGTTACCAATTCGCCAGCTGCAAACGTTTTTATGGTAAACTACCAATCCCCAGCTGCAGACGTTCTACACACGTTTTTATGGTAAAATTACCAGTTCCCAAAATGTTTCTATGGTAAATAACCAATCCCCAGTTTCACAGGTTATTATGATAAAACAGTCCCCAGCTACACACGTTCTTATGATCAGTCCCCTGCTTTAAACTTCTTTAGGGCCCATTTCAAGATACTATTACTTGCAAAACATATTTATAGGAAGTTCCTGAAATATACGTATGTATGGTACATGTTGTAATGCATATTCAAAAGAGGTTTGGCATTTGACTTGTTTTTTCTGAGGGATTATGACTGAAATTTATGCGATTTTCACTATCAAAACGTTTATTAATATCTAGATAAAGCTTGATGTAAAATGACAATACATTACATGCAAATTCTCAGAGATAGTCAGGACCACCCTTCCTCCCAATCTTCTGATACACGGATGCGTATTTAAAGTAAATTACTAGCCACTTCTATTTATCGGAAATCACATTTCCTGAATACACATATGATACATGTATTCCTGATAAATTTCTTGCCACTGGTTATTCATGTTCTTATTTTAAATAGGCCGTCCCATGTATTACACTTATCTATTGTAAATAAAATATTCTAGGCTTTATACATGTACATATGTAAACGTATTTATTGCAAATCAGCAGCCCTTGGTACAGTAAATTGTCAGTTTCTGGTTAGCCTTTACTGCATTTATTTCAAATTGCAAACGTATTTATCGCAAATAAGCAGGTCCTGGCGGGTAAATACGTATTTGTGGTAAATTACCAGTTCCTGGTTATACACATTTTTAAATTACTACATGTACATTAAACGCAACCAAAAACTTATTATCTCTAGCTAACACGATATTTGCAACAGGTTATTTCATTTCTTCAAAGTTTAGAGAGTCTGTCAATCAGAAAGAAAGATTTTCGGACGGACGGACCAGACGGACCAAACAAACTAATAAAACCAATGAGTTGCCATGCTTTACTGGCGATGCCTAGCCGTGGCTCTATATTTTCTTTGAAGAAAGACATACTATTAAAAGTTTCTTACTCATGTGCAAACACTAAACGATACTTTCTCTACATATTACAACATAATATTACAAGCAACTTCCAATTATAAAACATACACATTAGTTAGATATTAATATTCACTGACGAAAACTTACTCAAAGATCGGGCATTAAGTTATTTGTTAATTTAAAAAAAAGAATGAAAAAAAAGATGCTTCATATAAAAATTTGTATCGTCATGTTTTAGAATGTAAAATGAAAGGCCTTCACTTAAAAAAACCCTATAAATGCTAGAAGTAGAGTGCTATAGGCTTTGACAACTTGATCCTTGGAAACGCGTAATATAATATTAACTATTCTAACACGACCCGCATTTTTCCCTATTGAAGAACATATAAGAACCGAAAGTGTGTGCTATTATGCAATAGAGTCACTGTTTGATGTTCTATATTTAGACATGTGACGTAATCATTATACATGTGTCGTAACCACTATAAAATCCGACGCACTGACAATAAGTACGGAAACTAATCAGGTGCAATTTTGCTTAATAGCAGGTGCGGCAACATTTATTTGTTTCTGTCGTGTTAGAATCGAAATAATATATCCAAATCGGGGATTTTATCACTGGATAACATCAATGTTTGTCGTTCGGATGCGCATCATTATATCACTCGGGCTACGCCCTCAAATCACAGTTTGGGATATATTATTTCTTAAATATAATTATGTGATGGGATGAAAGGGAGATAATTCACTATAAAATTAACATCCTTTTATTTGATGCAAATATTGTATTAACTCCCTTGAGTATACATGTAGTTCTGTTTCCACTATTGTTTTATTTGAGACTTTGAGTACAATAGGGTTTAAGCAGTGAAGTTTTATTTGAATTTATGATATATTGTGTACTTATAATTGAAATATTGATGAAATAAAATGAGTTTTTTCATTTTCCGATTTTTCATGAAAAAATAATTGTTCACTGCCACGAAACATAATTCCCGTAATTTACACTGATGTCTTTCCGGACTTCTTTCTTCTAATTTAAAATTACACACAATTTAAGTTGAAGTCTCTCGAGTCGTAGGTCTAAACAGTTAACTCGGATATAATTAACAGACAATTCAAGTTTTTGCCTGTCAATACGGAATGTATTTTAATCTTGTGGTATGAAACTTATCATATTTCAAACAAATCCTGTATTTACGGAAAAAGACTTGAATATATTTTCTTTATAATAATGTGATGTTTTTTTCTATGCCATTAATTGTCATTTTATGGAGCTTTAGAGATTAACCCATCATGTAAAAGAGGTCACGGTAGGTCAATGAAGTGCTCGCTTATATTTGGATGCCTGCTACATGTACATACTCTGCAGCACAGATAAATCTCAGATTTGTTAGATTTGCAGACATTGACAACGTGTTGGTGACACAGGACATATTTTGGCACTAACTAGTTAGATGGTTGACTTAATAATTCTGTAGATATTATTATATTATTATGCTATAATATGCTGTAATACACATATACAATAAGCTGATAAAAAACAACATTTAATAATAATTAGTATGGAAGACGACATCTTAAACGAGTTCTTTTACAAAATATTTAAATATTTCTTCCTAATCGTATATTCTGAAAAAAAAAAACAACATTACGTTTGCACCGTGTGCATTACGTTCCAGATAGTGAAATCAATTATTATCTTTGCATTTGATAATTCGGTACATGTAGTAAAATGCTAGTTAGATGGAATCTGGTTATTGATTTTAATTATAAATATTGATTTTTCATGGAAACATTAGTTTTATATGTATGTTTAGTTTTTTCTCCATAACTTTGAACGCGGCACGCATCCAAATTCATATTAATTTGCATGAATATTTTGGAAATGTATTTAAAAATAAAATATTGTGGGATGATCACATAAAATAATTTACATATTGCAATCGGCGCTTACAATCCAAGAAAATTAGCAAATAGTGGAATAAATATGCAAAAGCAGCCTATACTCTGTTAGTAACGCAGTAGAAATATGGTGATAAAATACTGCAAAATCCGTCAAAAACCGAGCATAACATGTAAAATTTTACTTGGATCTTAAGTGTTTATATCTTCCTTAAAATGTTAGTACATTTTTTTCAACATTGATTTTCTTGAAATAAATTTTGCTCATCTGGAGGCGTTCAGCTTTAATAAACGTTATGACAATTGTTTTAAATTGTTACAGATACATCCTATCCCACGAACTTTCAAGGTCAAACTGTTAAATTTTTATCCGGATGATGATATCCGTACAGGACATTGTAAACATTTTGCAAAAGCGAATCCTGCAGTCATTTCAAAACAATATAAGTTCTAAAGTCACAATTTGCCTTCCTTATTATATCTTTGAATGAAATTTAATATAATATATGACGAAAATGTTGACGGTATCTTCATATAGATTGAAGACTTGGAAACAATACATACATGTATGAGGCATTATTTAATGTCAGGTAACATTTTTAATCAGCACCGTAACAATGGAATAAGTCAACCTGACAGTGATTCGTCTGTTCAGTTTCCATTGCTCAAAGACAGGTTTAAATATAGAAAAGCAACACACGTATTGTTCAGTTTCCATTTCTCAAAGACAGGTTTACATATAGAAAAGCAACACACGTATTGTTCAGTTTCCATTCCTCAAAGACAGGTTTACATATAGAAAAGCAACACACGTACTGTTTAGTTTCCATTCCTCAAAGACAGGTTTACATATAGAAAAGCAACACACGTATTGTTCAGTTTCTATTCCTCAAAGACAGGTTTACATATAGAAAAGCAACACACGTATTGTTCAGTTTCTATTCCTCAAAGACAGGTTTACATATAGAAAAGCAACACACGTATTTCTTTACCAATTTCATAACTGTGATAATATCTTAGTTGATCAAGTTAACGGAATTTCATTTCTACTTTTTTCAAATAGATGTAATCATTCTTCCAATTGTACCAGGTAATTCCAGTACTATCTATTTTGCCAGGCTGGTTATAATACTGTCCATTTAGATTGGAATAGTGGCAATTATCATACCACCACGCACCATGCCAATCCTTCGCACAATTTGACGACGATTATGAGAGTTGCGAGGTTTTCATTTTGTTTGGTGTTTTGCTGAACCTGTTCAGCCATACTTTGTAATACTTTACGGTCATTTTCAGACGTTATGACATTGTCTTTAGACACATGTTTGACCGTCTCAAAGTTGGTTAATAATTGATCAGTATTATAAACAGCGATTTTGCAATAACTTTCAACATTTTGTTGAGGGTTATCAAATTGTTTTCAATTTTTGGAATTTCCCGTCGGAACCTTACAGACTCAGATTTTTCCTCGATGAAGGCAGTCCTGAGTCTAGTAAAATCCTCTTTCAATGTATCCACTGTTTCAAAATCAATCTTACTAGCTTTTGTCGCCGCTTCAGGTATGGAATGTTCTTTTCCAATGGTCGCATTTAACACTTTATCGATGCCATTCAGTCGCACTGTTATTTCATCAATATCTTCGTCTCTGAGGGTAAATTCGAAGTTAAGTCTAGTTTCTAAATGTTTGACAATTGACTTCAGTCGATCAAGTTCCTTTGTTGAACTTGTCAAACCAATGACATATACCATGAGAAGAAGAACTTTTACTTTGCCAAATAACTGCATATTCCTTTTTGTTTTCAACCGCTCATAAAGTTAGTACACACGATTCTTCTTGATATGATCTATGATTATTTTCTAAACAACTCGAAACAATCCCCGTTCTTTATTAATAAGAATGAATTTTATGTTGATACCTTTGTTCAATACTCATTGGTGGAATAACGGTGATAAAGGTTATCGTCATACATTCTTTATATTTCTAAATCACAAGAGCCTTTATTGTTGTTTTTGGTGTGTCTCATTTTCAATTATGTCGAGTGGGCACTTTATTGCTCATAGTTTCAGATTGGGTGTTGGCTTTTTTCTTGTCTCTCAAAAGAAACACACTCTTCATTCGAACAAGTGGAGCCAATTACATTATATGTTTTTACGTTTTGTTTTTTTATAATGACGTTTACTTTTCATGTAGTTCATAACCTTTGTCTATCACTTTATAATATATATAAATGGTCCAAGAAACAGTAATGTTGCAAATTTTCATATTTTCCGGTTTCATATTAGCATATGATAAAATGTTCATAGTTTTGTTGCAATTTCATACAGTGCACTTACAATGAACTATTCCTGTTTATTAACGTTCTAATTCGTTAAATAGTATTCTATTTGCTAACTGGGCTTATATCCGATACAACAATCAAATATTGTATCAGTTTCAATCTGATCATCCCTGATAAGCCAAAAGTATGTTCATTTAACTATCGTGTCTGCGTAGCTGAAATAATTTAATAATAAAATCTAAGCAATCAATTTTTGTCCGTATAGTTTGGATCATGTCCGTCTTATGCAGACGGTTTTGTAAAGTAATTAAAACCATGTCTGTGTAAATCCAGTTATGTGTTTGATTTAGTCATGTCAGTGTGCATCAAAATGTGTCCGTATAATTCATATATAAAGTAACATGTTTCTTTCAATTGAATCACGTTTCTTTATGTCATTTAAATGCCTTTGTAAACATGATTATTACCCAATAGCTTAAAACGAATTGTGTTATTTATACCATGTGCATTTTGTCTAGATTATGAATGTGAAAATTTGAAAATGCCCATGTAATAATTATGATGTGCTAACCATATCATGAAGAAAGATTAAAGGAATCTGTGAGGGTAATCAGTAAGTTTATATTCACTATTTGTAAAACAAACGTAGAAGGTTAAGAGATGAATATTATCTATTCTTAACATGCATTTTTATATAATTGTTTATTTGGGACTTTTACAATACGAATTAACCTATGGATACAATCTTTTAACTTTTAAAAGATAACTTTTATTGACTGTTGAATTATTTTGTAGTCGTGCTTATAATATATACAATAAATGAACGTTTAAAACTTCCACACAGTAGTCAAATAGAGATTATTTGGCGTCATAATGACAGTAATCGTGTTAGTGCCCATAAAACTAAACCCAAGAAATTAGCATGTTATTTAGAAAAAAAAACGTTTATGTATTATGTACATACGTTTATATAATAAAAATGCGGAAGATTGAACAAATGTCACGAACTATCATCTACCTATATTCTACCCTATGTGTACAGCATATGCTATAATAGCATTTTTAATTTATAATTTTGATTTTATTTTCGTTAAAGCAAAATAATTTCCTACTCAAAATTTTGCGTTCGTAACAAGATAGCAGTAGTAAGATTATGAATATTTTTCAATAGTAAATAATCACCATATTGACCATAATCACATAAATATTTTGTTGAAATTAAGATCAAATCAAAGTAAAGCCATAGAGCCTACTACATATTTTATAAAATGTCACATATTTCCTTTTCCAAAAGTAGACAAACAAATAACTTATTTTGGTAAAATTGGTATTTAAAAAACAATTTTGTTGAAATAGAATATTAACGGAATGAAAATTGTTACATGTATATCTTTCTGAATCTTCTGCGAACCACTGAGACGGCAAAGACCAGTTTAACAACAGTACTGCATGTTTCAGTTGGTCGGCCTCGGCAAAGCTCTGTAGGAGCACATTTGTCTCGGAGCACATTTGTCTTACGTAAGACCAATGCGGTCGAATTTGTCCCACATGAGACAAATAGGACCTCAAATGTCTACCCCCAAAAATCATTTGTGTGACAAATGTGCTCCGATCAAGTTTTTTAAGGGACAAGAAAGCACATTTGTCTCATGTGTTTTTAAGGGACAAGAAAGCACTTTTGTCTCATGTCATTCTTTATGAATTATTTGTCACATTATTCCCACGGCAGAAATTCTTTTTAGAATCGAGGTTCGCCGTTTTACCTCATGTCAAGTGTAATCATCAATAGGTTTGCTTATGCTTTCTTTAGGAAAACTTAAAGTGAACTATTAATCATAATATCTCTAATTCAAGTAATTGATTGGCGTACACTGAAACAAACTAAATCCCGTTCACGATGGTACAATGGTGACAGCGCGGTGGCACGATGTTTCGTTGATGAAAACGCGATGGTGCGATGGTGTAAACATAATGGTACGAACGTGAAACAACGACTGTACGATGGTGAAACAACGATTGTACGATGGTGAAACAACGATGGTTCGATGATGAAAACATGATGATACTATGGTGAAAGACGATGTTACGATGGCGAAAATACGATGGTACGATATGATGAAACTGCGATGGCAAAATCATGAAAACGCGATATTATTTTCTCTATCGTGTCATCGCATCATCGTGATTTCACCATCATGTCATCGTGTTTTAATGATCGTACCATCTCAATTTCACCTTTGTACCATTGTGCATAGCTGTTCAGGCAGTCAAAAATGTTACTTATGTCCAAACGGAACACCGTAATCGGTTGATATCAAATGATACAATATCGTGACTCGTTTCGCATCTCGCCGAAATCTCGCGTCTCGCTACGCATCTCGTTCGTCGACGCGAGACAAGAAATTGATTTCAGGTCATATACCGCTGAGTAGTATTCCCTTTAAAGTCTACATAAAATCACTTAAAAGCCCATTATGCCTGAGAAATGCTTTCATTTGTATTCCTTAAAAGCTTTGTATTTTTGGTATACTTTAATAGCTCCAAAAAGTTACTCATTGGCTAATTACCTAAAGCATTTTTCATCTGCTGCTTATTTGCAGTTTGTACAGTAGAAGTGATTTAGAATTTTGTATTGAAGTCAAAATACTACATTGTTTACATTTTGCTACTTTTATGACGAATTATTTCACATTTATCGCAAATTCCTTTAGATAACAAGCATCTAACTTCTTCAGAAATCATTATTTGAATATTAATAAATTCATACTTGCTCTATCTAAAGAAGTAAAAATTTATTCATTTCTGAAATCTCGTGGTACGGGATACTTCGACATTTCGAGATCTCGTGTTACAATATCGTGCCTCGCTTCGTGTCTCATCGATGTGTCGCGATTCTGAGTGGTCCGATATTCCATAATTACGGCATTACCCGGATTATTTTAGGAACTCATACATGTTGTAAGTGCTTTTTCAATGGCGGATCTGAAAGCCGAAATTCTTGGAAAATGACGATTTTTACATACATATATTTCTGATGAAAACAAAATTCTTGTGTAATGGTCTTCTTATTTTCTTCCATAGATCATTTAAGGGCCTCCGTGGCCGATTGATTTAAAAAAAAACACTTGTCCCTAACCGCTGTAGGTTCGACATATACACGGGGCATCGAACTATTCATCGAACTTTGCGAGGATCCCGGTCAGTGTCCAAATGATGAATACATATCCGCGTGCGCACGTCATAGCTATCGCGTGCGCACGTAATGAATAAGAAAATTGTATGTCCCCTTTATGCCGCCGTAGATACTACCCTTGTTTTTGCTAAGAATATTTCTAGTGCCATAAATCATTTATAAAACTTTAAGCATTGAAAATAAACGTATCACAATTGATAACGATAACAATGGACTTGCTGCATATGTGTTTAGGTTCTGGATACTGCACTTGTAAAAATTTTCATTGTGACGTGCAGAACAGGTATATTCTTTAATTTTATATATGACTGACCAGAAGTGACCTAAAATCGGTTTTATAAATACAGAAAACACATAACAATGGCTGTTTGCCGGTAAACGTACGGGCATAATTATTACCTTTTAAGATTTTTATGGAAAAATGTGAGACAAATGTGCTTCGAGTGTTCTTTCTATTGTGTGTCGAACACATCTGTCTCATTTCCAATTTGTCGCAAATATAATTGTTTACGAGCACATCGGTCACACTTCGTGTGACAAATGTGCTCCGAGACAAATGTGCTCCTACAAAGCTCTGTACTCTTTATGTCTCCTAAACGCCGGTAATATTGGCTCTAGGTACGGCGAATAAGTCTTCTCTTTTTTTATTTCAATGTCCATGTATCAAATGCCATTTCTATATTAGAACCCTTGAAGTATTTCGATGCGCTACGTGACGATTCTTTTTATTGGTTTATCCTGGTCAAACACGATGGTCCGCTTGTTCAGATGAAATCATTATTTTTGTCTTATTCTAACAAAACATACGCCCGTTTTGTCCTAATTAATTTAAATATGTATTCTTATGACTTATAAATATTTTAAATAAACGCGTCAACTCTTGTTCTTTAAATTGATATAAATTTCCTTTATGTATAGTCATTGTTATTTAAGATATGAACATGTACAGGAGATAGCTTACATTTAAACGGTGTGAAAACTTAATCTAGGCCGCAAATCTGCTATATATATATATTAAAAAAATACACATTAAACAAGAATTATCCTTTACAAACCCGAAACTTGGTCATTATACAACAGTAATTAATACTTTATTTCAAGATATTTTCGATCATCTAAAACTGACGTTATCAACATATTATATTGTATTTACATAGAGCATATAACCAAGTCTCGTGATTATTTTTAAAATCATTTTGATCTCGACCATTAGATTTTGCAAGTTTCGGGTCTTACGACGCTTTGCGTGTCATATTCCTTTTTAAAATCTATTTAAGACAACTATTAGTTTTATATCAGGATACTTTAAACAACAAAGATTCTGTTACACACTTTTAATTTAAAAAAAATGAAACAATTGATAAACTGATGATAAAAATATAGATAAAACTTTGGTCGAAAAACGGTAATTAAACTTAATTGCAAAGAATTTGATAACGTTGAAATTTACATATCAAATAAAAAATTGTGACAAGCATTTTATAGTAACATCAAAAACACACAAACTTATGCATCTATGTGCTACAAACGAGCTTCAATTTGTATAAAAAAAGAAACATATCATTTGATCATAAGCAAAGCTTCGGCACGAATCTCGTCAATAAAGATACAAACTCATAAATTCTGTCAATGATATATATCGTACGATGTACCAAATACAACAAGAAATTTATATTAGTAGCACTTTAATTTTAACCTATGAAAATGTATATGATTCTTCATAATTATTTGACAAATAAAACATTTAAGACATTTTGTAATTTTAGAAAGGTAGTATGTAAAAAATCAGCAATGGAAGTAAAAAAGAAACATTTTTGTAGTTATAAAATATCTTTACTATACATATTCAGTGTCCGTTTCTTAAAAACTCTCGTATAAATGTTTCTTTCAACTGTGATAATATCGTAGCTTATCAAGTTAACAGAATTTCAATTTCTCCCTTTTTCAAAGTGTACACACTATTCTTCAAATAAAACCAGGTATTTGTAGTTATATTTGATATGCCAGGGTGACTTTAATACTATCCATTGAGATTTGGATCGAGTGAAATCTTTCAATTCGAGTGAATTTTCGCACAATTGTCTGTGCTTGTATTATGGTCTCTGTCATACGTTAAAAACATCATATGGTCTTATTATAGATATCTTCAAATTATTTTTATACTGTATATTAACAGGTACAATTAGCAGACAATGAACAAAACATAAAAGGACAGTGAGTTCAGTGCATTCCATGTTAAAAGTGTTCCATGCTAAAGGTGTTCAATGTTATCCGAATGATATCTGTATAGAACATTGTACACATTCCGCAAAAGCGAATCCTGCAGGCTCATAACAAAAATAATTCTTAAGTTGCATTTTGCCTTTCTAATTGTTAATTTGAATGACAGTAAGAATAACATGTAATATATGTGTAAAAGTCGTCTGTGTGATTTTCACACAAATTTGTCTACTTCGAAACAAAAACGTATCGGGCACTATGTTATGTCGGCTAACATTCGTATCATAGAACCACGTACTTAATCAACCTGACAGTGATTCCTTTGAGATTGATCAGAGTCTATTCTTCATTAGCTATTGTATAAAAGTTTCTTTAGCGTTTACATAATGAAAAACTACATACGTATTATTTTATCAGTCTTATATCGGTGATGATATCCTAGTTTTACTAGTTAAGGGAATTTCATTTCTACTTTTTTAAACTGTATCGATTATTCTTCCAATTGTACCAGATAATTCCAGTTTCATCTGATTTGCCAGGCTGATTATAATACTGCCTAGAGATTGGAATAGTTGCAATCATTATACCACCACGCGCCATGATAACGTTTCGCACAATTTACAGTCGACCATTTATCATCCATCTAAGTAGATTTTGTAAAAAAACCCTCTTCTAAGACCACAAACGGAACTTGACCAAAATGGTCTTAATTAGACTACTCGATGAAAATAAATACTGTATCTATAAAAAAAACTTCAATATCTATATGTGATGTTGTTTTTTCTTTGTCATTAATTGCAACGAACGGACATGGTCCACTGTGGTCCTAATAACGGCATGGTCTCATTTGTGGATACTACTATATTTTTATTAAACTGCACATACAAGAAAATAAAAAACATAAAATATTAGTAAATAAGGGGCAAACGACTTCTTAAACTCTTCATTCTTAAAGTCGTTTTTCAAAATGTTTATGTATAGGTTAGAGTGCATATTGGGTGTTCTTCGTAAATAAGAAAGCTAAAAAGGAGCGGAGCTTGCGAAGCGACTGTAGCTTTCTTATTTACGAAGAACATCCAATATGCACTCTAACCGGCTTAGTGTTCCGCCCACTTGCGTTTTATAATATAAAACGTCCAGTTTCTATAAAATCTGTTCTATTAAGATTTGTAACCTGAAAATTTGAAAAATCCTCGTCGGTGATTGGCTTAAAAAAATTGGCGAGCACTAAATATTTTTATCTTATCAAATATACTAAATAATATTAATAAATTAATGATACTTTTGCATTTGATATTTGCGGTTAATATAGAAATCTGCTAGTTAGATAGAATGTGGTTATTTTATTACTGGTAAATAAACATTGTCTTTTCATTGCGACAATTGTTTTATACGTATGTATAGTTTTGTCTCCAAAATTTTTCAATGAACGTTATGGCAAATTGCTTTTAATTGTTCCACGTAACCGTCAAATTATATTTCTATTCCTGTATTGGAATATTTTGATATCCATTTTAAACTGTTTTTGAAGGTTTATGAGTTAAATCTATGCCATGTACTGTCAAGATAAAAATGTTCAATGTTATTTAAGGAATGTATCTGAATAAAACATTGTACACATTTTGCAAAAGTGAATCCTGCAGACATTTCATAAGAATATCAATTCTTAAGTCACATTTTACCTTCCTTACTTTTACTTTGAATGATATCTAAGATAATACATGCATAAAAAGTTAAAAATCTACTAAATCGTCATATAGTTTGAAGACTTTAAAACAAAACATACAATGTACATGTATGAGACACTAATTAATGGCAGGTAAAATTTGCAATCAGCAACATAACTATGGAATAAGTGAATATTACAGTTATTAGACTATGCGTGTTCACATTATATTTCTTGATCAGCTGTCGCAGTAAACATGTTTTTTTTTTTAATTTTACATATCGAAAGAAATACACATGTATTAATTTATCAGTTTTATAAGGGTGATAATACCCTGTTTATCAAGTTAACGGAATTTCATTTCTACTTTTTTCAAACATATGTAATTCTTCTTCCAACGATACCAGGTAATTCCAGTAGCATCTTTTTTGCAAGACTGGTTATAATACCGTCCATTGAGATTTGAATCGTGGCAATTATTATACCACCACGCACCATGATATGTTTTCGCACAATTGTTCGGGTTTGTATCTTGATCTCTGTCATACGTTGTGAACATCATTCCATTATTATAGGCAAGAGAATCTCCAGCAGTTCCGCTGTATCCGCTCACCTCCAGTTTGTAATTGTCTTCTTCCGGATATATCTTGAACTTACTGTACTTAGCATATGCACTGTTTCCCTCAAAATCTTCTATCTCTACCCGGAGTTCGTGTTCTCCATCTGATGTCAGTAGACTCAAATGATCATTGCCAAGCCAGAACTCATCATCTAGATCACCAAAGCCGTTCTTATACTCAGCCCAGTTGCGATAAAAATCTGTTTTACCATTCAGTCTTCTTTGAAATACTATCCAGCCCCCGCTGTCTGTAGTTTGGTCACAGTACACTTGAAACCCCTTTTCCAATTTGTATATTCCATTTTCGATTTTACTCATATGACTTATCGAGCGACAGGAATTACCCAAATGTAAGGAGTCGATGTGCGAGAATAAATTAGTTACAAGTGTTTTAATGTTTTTAATTTCTTTAGCCATTTCATTATCATTGTAAGTGTTTAGTTGTACCTGTTCAGCCATAATTTGTAACATTTTACGGTCGTTTTCAGATGTTAATATATTTTCTACAGCCACCTGTTTGACAGTTTCAAAGCTTGTTAATAATTGATCAGTATTATTTAAAGATACTTTGCAATAAGTGTTAACATTTTCATTAAGGGATATCAAATTGCTTTGAATCTTCGGAATTTCCCGTCGAAACCTTACAGTCTCAGACTTTTCCTCGGTAAAGGCAGTCCTAAGTCTCGTGAAATCCTCTTTCAATGCATACACTGTTTCAAAGTCAATATTACTAGCTTTATTCACCATCGAAGGAATGATCTGTTCTTTTCCAATGGTCGCATTTAACACTTTATCTATGTCGTCAAGTCGTTCTGTTATTTCAGCAAAATCTTCGTCTCTGAATTTAGATTCGGAGTTCAGTCTTGTTTCTAAATGTTTGACTCTTGCCTTCAAACGATCAAGATCTTTTGTTGAACTTGCACAACTAATTAAATATACACCAAGAAGAAGAACTGTTACTTTCCTAAACAACTGCATAGTTCTGTACAATTATGCAATTATCCTTTTTGTTATCAAAGTTCTTGCAGCTAATATATGATATTTATCTGTTACCATTAATTTCAAACTTGAATCAATCTAAGCAATATTTTAAAAAAAATAAATGTTCACGTTCTTTCACTATTCTTTCGAAATATGACGATACGTTTCTCTCTAAGGAATATTTATTGATAATAATAATTTATGTCAATTGGCCACTTAAATGCTCTCATTCTAAAATAGCTGCAGATTGTTCTATTGCCAGTCAGAATAAAACTGCCCTGCCTTTAAACGAGAAAGAGCCAATTATTTTGTCTGTATCTTAATTTATGTTAAGAGGTACTTGTGGTGCGTGGTACCAATATACGTTAAGGTTAAATAAATAAATACGAGTATACATAGAATAAGATATTACTTTAGAAGTGTATTCATTAGAGTATAACTTTGTATTACAGGATGTGGTTTGTTTTAGTGCAATATATTCATTGGTAATTACTTTATTTACATGTGTTGAATATGAGATATACCAATTGCAATTGAAACTGTGAAATATTTTCGTCTTTTTAGACGCAAATCTGATACAGTACTAAAAACGATTTTTAAAGAACATTTTACCCCAAACTTGTAATGAAGTAGCTTGATGTTCTAATAACTAGCATTTGCTGAGTCACAAATACATACAAACCTTCCAACAAATAAACATCCTACAATACTGGAGAAATAACATTGAAATTTTAAGTTTAAAGTATCTTCAAATCACAATGTCGGAAATATAGATAGCTTCAACGGGAACCATAGTTCTTACTTGGCCCCTACCTTCAAGCCAAATCCAATTACATGCAATTAATGGTGTTTTCGTAAACTTACCAGTTCATTCAAGGTTATCTTATTTTGAATATTTTTTTTCCTTTTCGTTCATGTTTGTGTAACAGTAACATCAATTTTGAATGTAGATTTGTTTTAATAGAGGTTTATCTAGTGTAATTTAAGAAGTGATCAAGAACATAAGCATACATTTTTAAATGTTTTTAAAAACACATATTCAAGCAATATAGAGTGGCGAATTAACCCAGGGAAATAGAATTGTTTAAAAGCGATGAGGATATATTCATACTATGTAAAATGATCAGATTATTATGCCGACATTTGTTGTTTGAACTTTTTTAACTAGGATAAAACTGAATTAATCTAAGAACGATGTGAATATATATCAATGCGGATTTAGATCACTGCAAACAGAAACTATAACGAAACTTCAACAAATAAGTAATAAAGAAAAAATTTAAATATATTTTATCTTTGAATGTAATAAACATAATGTGTATCAAAAAGATAACTACATAGTACAGATCTATAAATAATCTTTTCTTATAATATGAGCATAATTTAACTTAAAATTGGTAAAATGTTCTATTGCATAGTATCATATTGATGCAAGAAGTGATACCTATGTATATGACTAAGCCGGGAACAATTTGGATGTCTTTTCATCGTAAGTTCGCTATACTAACTAAATTCCGTCTTAATAGGTTTTAGTGGTTTTATTTAGCCATGTTTTAGACTATAGTTAAACTCGGTTTTATTGATACAATCCACAATTTCTTCACAAGCGACCGACTGATAAACTCACCCGAAATTACTGGATGAGTAGTGATGGACACATTATGAGGTCAAATGTCACGGTAAAAATTTGCCTCGCCCTAACACCGGACCAGCGGCCCCTAGATAGTCTGGAATAAGGTTATTTGATTGCAAAAATACTTCTGTTAAACTTGAGTTTAGTAAAACTAAAATATGAAAATATTTAAAACAACAAATTTAAGTTGAAACACTCATTTCTAATTTTGTCAAGAAATAAAATTTGAAAAAGATAATATAGTTTTGTTGTAACGATTTTTTATTTAGTTCATTAAATTTTATTGTACACATACATGAAACTATACAATGATCAGATTAAACAAAATTATATTTTTGGTTTATACAAATTTATTTTAGTTCGATTGTGTTGGAAGCTATAAGCTTATTGAAACACTCTCGAATCCGTTCCTGGAACCAACCAGTATTAAGCAATGAATGTAAAGTTTCTTGCTCAAGGAAACAACGGCTTGCCCCTGACAGGGTTTGAACCCACGCGGTCAGCAATCCTTAGATTACTAGTCCGACGCGTTAACCACTCGGCCACGCCGCCACCATAATATTAAAGATAGAATAAGAATGGTCTCTATCTAGACAATAAATAACAAGTTAAATGTTCAACCATATCAACAATTCTGAACAATTGGGACAATATAAAACATTTCAGACAAAATGGTAATTTGCGGTATGAATAAGAAGGAACATACAATATAGAAGAAAAATGGAACTTAAAAACTGTTTACTTGCAAAATTGCGTTTATTTGTCAAAATTGTATTACATTAATTTAATAATTCACAGTAATTTTGTATCGGTTTTGAATATAAAAGACAATAGAGTAGAGTGCAATAGATCGTTAAGCATTCTAACACACATTATTCTACCATTAAAAATAAATAGGACAGTCGAATGCAAAAAAACACGATAGATGCACAAAACAAAATGAATGCTTTCATGTTATATGACGTCAAATATAACGTCAATAAACCAAATGACGTCAGGAAACTTAATTTTACGCAAAGTGTAGTTCAAAATATTTTATAAATTCTCTTTTTATGATGTATGTTTGAATTATTATAATAAGTTCTTGCGTTGAAATATAATAATGCAAAGTTTATCGTTTCTTGCGTTGGAATATAATAACGCAAGGTTTATCGTTATAAATCGGCCTATGTGATTATATTCCTGCACATTTGAACTCGTACCGTGACTTATTCTTCAAGAAAACTACTTGATATACATATCATAATAAAACTGAATGATTCAGATAATTACACAGTTAAAGAAACCAGGTCGGATGAACGCACCCATATCATGAACGAAAGTTTGAATTGGACCGCTGAACTGTGCAAATACCGAAAATGACAATGTATACGAACGTGCAAGGAATATATTTGTACTGGTCACGCGTTTACTGTAAGTAATTGACAGATTTTTCAAGAATCGCAAATGGTTCAATAAGATACGTTATTACAAAATGCTTGACAGTGAATGTACCTTGATCTAAAACTTGTTTTTCACTGGAGTAGATATTGTTAGAACCAGGTCGTTCTTAGCTGAAAGCTTTCAAATATGTCATTAGCCCAGCCATGTACTCGTCCTAATATACTACCGTATTGGGCAGTTCAATATATGATATCTTATGAATGAATATAAATATCGTGACAAGTATCGTATAATATCTTTATACATTGTAAATTGTAACAGCTATTGGCAGCCCCTCCCCTCATATCTGTATCCTATGCCCTTGTGTCGGGGCTGCGTTTCTTATTACAAGAAATAATGAATTCTTAAATTATATAGCGTAACAATATTTACGACTTTGAAACATAACAAAATTTATATAAGGCACTATTCAATGTCAGGGAACATTTATAATCAGTAAAGGAACTATGGAATAAGTCAACCGTACAAACATTTTTAATTCGAACCAGCTTTATAACTCAGCTCGTGATTTAATAAGTAAATAAAATTTGTAAGATTTACAATATAGGAACAATTCCTATTACAAATTTCAACACCCAGCACGCAGGGGCCTATAAGTCAATATAAACTTATTATATACAATTTAAAAATATGATTTTTAATTTATTAAAAAGAAACAACATACAAAGCAAAGAAGAAAAATCGTAAATGCAATTGTCAAATATTAAATTTCATATACGAAGTATATTATAAAGAAGTTAAGCTTTTTAAAATTTCAACACAAGAAATTTAGTTATATACAGTATTAAGATGTTGTTTTATTTCTTCATATTTTTAACAATCATCGTGATAAAATATATGGTATTTAGAATTTATTCAATTAAAATCGAATTTTGACTGCTGAGTATTGAGACATTTCCTTTTATCATTTAATTAAGCTCGAGTGTTGACCACTGAATATCGAGACAGCTTTAAATTCCTCTTGTCATTCAGTTAACTGCTGAATATTAAGGGAGCTCTTCATCTCCTCTTGTCATTCAATTACGGTCGAATATTTACTGCTGAATATCGAACTAGTCACACTTCTCAGCTTCTTGTCATTCTCTTTATGTCGGATATGAAGCTGAATGCTGACCTGTCTCAATTTAATATAACACGAATGTTGAGCTAAAATTTGAAATACAATCAAACAAATTCATGTTTTATAAATGATAATATATAAAAGAGCTTACATCTATCGTTAATTATATATAAATTTATTTACAATAAAATGATATGGATAATGGTACGTGTATACTAACAGTATTGAACCCGGCTTTCCTGCGCTTTATTGATTCCTATTAGACTGTATACTGTTGCCTTCTCAAATTTCAGTATCTTGGTACTTATTAGTCTGGTTCCGAGGATCTATTGTAAACATTATACAAAAGGCGGGTTATCCACACTAGGTTCGTAAATCCATTAAACATCCTTATGCATAACAAATTCTTATAATCTTGTATTAAAAATTGTTACAGATGGAGAGTTCCAGATTCCTAAAAAATGTTAAAAATGATTAACCTAACCTCTTGTATTCGATCTTACAGATTACCTTATATGGTCATAGCAAATCAATTTTTGTTGGTAATGTATCATAATCTTACACATGCACGAATAAAATTATGGTAAATTACCAGTTCCCAACTACACACGTATCTATGGTAAATTACCAGTCCCTAATCTTAGACGTTTTTATGGTAATTAACTAATCCCAAGCAACACACGTTCTATGGTAAATTACCAATTCCCAGCAACACACGTTTCTATGGTAGATAACCAGGTCCCAGCTACATAAAATATTCATATATAAAGATATAAATATTCACTATTCAATGAACTAGCCATGAATACATAAAAAGCGGGAAAAAACGCTCAAAATATAATTTTATGTCGCCATGTTTTATATTTAAATTAAAAGGCCTTCATTTCTTTCCGTCGAAAAAAAAAATCCACTAAAAAACTGTCAATGCTAGTAGTAGGGACCTAAAGACTTTGTCGACTTGACAGTAATAGCATCTTTTAGCGCGTAATATATTTAATATGTAATATATTAATTACTGAAATAATTAAGTGATGGGATGAAAGGGAAACGATTAACTATAAACTTAACATCCTTAATTTGATGCAAATATTGTATTAACTCCCTTGTGTATAATTCTGTTACCACTATTGTTTTATTTGAGAATACGTTTATCATAAATTCAGTTTATGATACATTGTATACTTATCGATGAAATATTGATAAAATAAAATGCGTATTTTCATTTTCCGTATTTTCATTGCTAAAAATATTTTTCACCGCTGTGAAACATATTTTCCGTCTTTTCACTGGTGTATTGCCAGACTTCTTTCCTCTAAATCACATCAAATAAAAGTGGAAATATCTAAAGTTGTTAAGTCAAAATGAAAATAACTCATAACAAACGGAATTTATAAAATAGGAATAAATTTGATTTTAAATCATCATCATTTGAAAATAAATCCTGTATTTACAGACAAAACTTAAATATACGGAAGCGTCCTGGTGCCAATTCATAATGTTCTATAAAAAAATAAACTCCTACGTAGGAGATAAAAAAGCCTAATTAGGAGTTTGTAACTCCTACGTAGGACTTTTAAACTCCTACGTAGGACTTTATAACTCCTACGTAGGACTTACAAAGTCCTACGTAGGACTTTATAACTCCTACGTAGGACTTTTTAACTCCTACGTAGGACATAAAAAAGCCTAATTAGGAGTTTATAACTCCTACATAGGACTTTTAAACTCCTACGTAGGACTTTATAAGTCCTACGTAGGACTTTATAATTCCTACGTAGGACTTTAAAACTCCTACGTAGGACTATTTAACTCCTACGTAGGACTTTTTAACTCCTACGTAGGACTTTATAACTCCTACGTAGGAGATAAAAAAGCCTAATTAGGAGTTTATAACTCCTACGTAGGACTTTATAACTCCTACGTAGGACTTTATAAGTCCTACGTAGGACTTTATAACTCCTACGTAGGACTTTAAAACTCCTACGTAGGAGATAAAAAAGCCTAATTAGGAGTTTATAACTCCTACGTAGGACTTTTAAACTCCTACGTAGGACTTTTTAACTCCTACGTAGGACTTTATAACTCCTACGTAGGACTTTATGACTTTATAAGAAATGCATACAGAATGCTTTGCAAATCTCAACATTCCGGACCGGTATATCGGCGAAGGAACAAGACACTTACCCCCCCCCACCCCCTCAAATCTCAAATATAGAGGACATTTCACCTTTGGTTCATACAGAATTTATTTAAGTTTGGTTGTGTAGGAAGCTATAAGCTTATAGACACACTTTCGAATCCGTTCCTGGAACCAACCATTACGTACTTTATAATGAGTGTAAAGTTTCTTGCTCAAGGAAACAACGGCTTGCGCCTAACGGGGTTTGAACCCATGCGGCTAGCGATCATTAGGCTACTAGTCACATGGCCATGCCGCAACACTTCACCTTTTAATAAAGTGTCTCAGATTTCTAGAGTGTACAGTGTCTTAGGTTGAGGTGTCTGTAAGCATTGGCGATGTATCCCGAAAAATTGCTTTACAGCTATTCGAAAAAACTTACTCGACATCAAGCATATATATCAAAATTTTAAAAGGCTTTAATGATTACGATTTCAAAACGAACTAGCTGAACAAAACGAGCAATTTATCCATTTTCGGCCGTTTCAAATGACTAAATCCTTATAGGGGGCAGGGGGGGGGGGGTAGTGAAGTGTCTTGTTCCTGCTCCGTAAAGTTTAAGAAGATAACGGTTTGCGGAGCATTATGCATGCATATGTTTAATAATGAATTACATTGTATATCCTACTTTGAACAAAGTTTAACCCATACATTTTGTGTACATGTGTATAATAAATATAACTAAACGTACATAATACAGAATCATCGTTTAATATATGCAGAGAATGACAAAATCATCTCTGGCTACAGACTAAAGGTGGCTTGCCACAATTACAACGTGACACATATGAGCCGCGCCATGACAAAACCAACATAGTGGGTTTGCGACCAGCATGGATCCAGACCAGCCTGCGCATCCGCGCAGTCTGATCAGGATCCATGCTATTCGCTATCAGTTTCTCTACTTGTAATATGGTTTGTAAGCGAACAGCACGGATCCTGATCAGACTGCGCGGATGCGAAGTCTGGTCTGGATCCATGCTGGTCGCAAATGCACTATGTTAGTTTTGTCATGGCGCGGCTCATATAATTTATTTTCCTACATAATATGCTATCTTAAGTTATACTCTAGCATACATGTCCGTCGAACTCTGTGCTTTCAGTTCTTTGATATGTATTCTACGTAGGAGTTATAAAGTCCTACGTAGGAGTTTAAAAGTCCTACGTAGGAGTTACAAAGTTCTACGTAGGAGTTATAAAGTCCTAATTAGGCTTTTTTATCTCCTACGTAGGAGTTATAAAGTCCTACGTAGGAGTTAAAAAGTCCTACGTAGGAGTTATAAACTCCTAATTAGGCTTTTTTATCTCATACGTAGGAGTTATAAAGTCCTACGTAGGAGTTACAAAGTCCTACGTAGGACTTATAAAGTCCTACGTAGGAGTTAAAAAGTCCTACGTAGGACTTACAAAGTCCTACGTATGACTTATAAAGTCCTACGTAGGAGTTATAAAGTCCTACGTAGGAGTTTAAAAGTCCTACGTAGGAGTTATAAACTCCTGATTAGGCTTTTTATCTCCTACGTAGGAGTTATAAAGTCCTACGTAGGAGTTATAAAGTCCTACGTAGGAGTTAAAAAGTCCTACGTAGGAGTTTAAAAGTCCTACGTAGGAGTTACAAACTCGTAAGTAGGCTTTTTTATCTCCTACGTAGGAGTTTATTTTTTTTATAGAACATTATGAATTGGCACCAGGACGCTTCCGTATAAATATCTTTCCTATATGTGATGCTGTTATTTTTTTTCTATGTCATCAATTGTCATTTTATAGAGCTTTTATGATTTTGACATTAAGAGTTTATCTTAAAATTGTCACAATAGGACATTTAGCAATGGACTGCTCGCTTATATAGATGCCTATTACAGGTCGGTCGGGTAAATCTCAACTTTATTAGATTTGGAGAGATTTACCTGTAGAACGTATGAGTGTAACATTTCATACACAGGACAAGTTTTGCCGGCAACTACTAAACTGGTGAAATGGCTGACTCCCTTATTCTGCTTTCCAATTTGCCATGACTTCTGACTTCCATTTTGTAAAGTTCCGCCCATTGTTTTCTCGTTAAAGGCACACGCTTTCTATTACTTGGGGACAATACGCCGCTTTTCGTGGAATGGCAAGGAAGTGTGACATAGAAGGTTCCATGATAACCGCCTTATTTACACATCTGCGGATGTTTCTAAATTCATTTGTTTAAATGCTGAATTCTGCTTGAGCCGGTGCTCGGAGCGTGGACGGTGTTTGCACTTGAACAGGCTCGAACAAACTGAGTCTGCAACATTTTCTATTTTGGGCTTTCTTTATGGACTCTTATTTTTATTTGTTTGGGTCGTCAGATCAAATAAATAATGGTAGCGAAATTTCAGACTCTAATGCTGTTAATTGCAATTGCCGAAAGTAGTCCACTTTTTTGAAACGGTTACTTCCCTTTATATGTACACTAACGTCGAAAAATTCAGGGGGGATCACTGCGTAAAGATGGTCAATGACAGGCGCATTAATTTTCAAGCAAAATAATTCCCGAATGGTCGAAGATTTCTAATACTGTTTTATTCTGTATAGATATACATGCTTATAGTAAGCTCCATGATTATCTACATCTGTGTTAAACAACAGTTAGCGTCGTTACAAACCCTAATTTAGAAAAATATGGTTTTCTTCAGGTAATTAATATATATAAATTCTCCGTGGCCGGGGGGTTTGCGCGCTCGCTAAGGAAGCGAGAGGTCTGGAGTTCAAATCCCATTTAAGGCAACTCATTTTTTTTTCAAATTGTTTAAGTCAAATAAACATTGGATTGAATATCAGTGTTGCAATTAGTCTTATAGCCTATTTATTACAATTAAAACGCTGGAAAGCATTGGTGGCACTATACAAAAACAAATTGGTTTATAATCTCACAACCTTCACCTTTCTGACATTCTGAGACCCAAACAATTTCAGCGTCTTTTGTGCTTTGATTATTATATTGCTGCACACATATACATATAAAATAAGCAGCTAAGAAAAAAACACACAAAAAGAAAAAAACACAAAATAATAATTAGAATGGAATTTTCAAGTTTTTGTTTATCAATAAAGGATATATTTTAAACTTTTTGCATGAAAATTATCATACGATGAAAATAAATACTGTATCTATAGAAAACAACTTCAATATCTTTTTTATATTTGATGTTGTTTTTTTTCTTTGTCATTAATTGCCACGAACAGATATGGTTTACAGTGGTCTTAATAACGGGATGGTCTCATTTGTGGATACTACTAAATCTTTATTATACTGTACATATACACATACACAATACGCAGATATAAACATAAAGTATGCAAAACGACTTCTTTGCCTCTTCATTCTTAAAGTTGTTTTTCAAAATGTTTAAATATTCTTATCTAATCAAATATACTGAAAAACAATACGTTTGCACCGAGTGCATTATGTTCTTGTGAAATTAATTATACTTTTGCATTTGATAATGCGGTAAATAAAGTTAACATTGCCTTTTCATTGCAACAATAGTTTTATGTGTATGTATAGTTTTGTCGCCATAATTTTTCAACAAACATTATGACATCAATGCTTTGGATAATACAACATGACCGTCAAACATATTTTCTGTGAGATATTTCGATATTCATTTAAATTGTTTTGGACAGTTAAGTGAGTTCAATCCATTCCATGTACTATCAAGGTAAAAATTCAATTTTATCCGGGTGATATCTGTACAGAATACTGTACACATTTTGCAAACTTCAATCCTGCAGTCATTTCATAATAGTATAAATTCTATATTCACATTTTGCCTTCCTTATTTTTACTTTGAATGGTATCTAGTAAGATAATACATGTATATAACGTTAAAATGCACTATATATTTTATATATCTTTAAATTGTTTGAAGACTTTGAAACAAAACATATATGTATAAGGCACAATTTAATGTAAGGTAACAGTTGCAATCAGCAACGTAACTATGGAATAAGCCAACCTTACAGTGAATAGACTATGCGTGTTCTTAGTCTTTTTTTTCTTGATTAGCTATCGCAAGATAAGTTTCTTAAAAGTTTACATAACTAAAAATTACCCACGTATTATTTTATCAATTATTCATCACTTTTATAATGATACTTTTACTGTGATAATATCTTCATTTATCATGTTAACGGAATTTCATTTCTACTTTTTTCAAACTGTAGCTGTTACGCTTCCAAGGAAACCAGATAATTCCAGTACTATCTATTTTGCGAGGCTGGTTATAATACTGCCCATTGAGATTGGAATTGCTGCAAATTTTATACCACCACGCACCATGATGTATCTTTGCACAATTGACCGCCGACCATTTATCCTGATCTCTATCATACGTTGAGAACATCGCTCCATTATTATGTTGAAGAGAATCTGGAGCAGTTCCACTGTATCCACTCACTTCCAGTTTGTAATTGTCTTCTTCCGGATATATTTTGAACTTACTGTACTTAGCATATACACTGTTTCCCTCAAAATCTTCAATCTCTATTCGAAGTTCGTGGTCTCCATCTGATGTCAGTAGACTCAAGTGATCATTACCAAGCCAGAACTCACCATTGAGATCACCGAAACCGTTTTTATATTCAGTCCAGTTTCGATAAAAATCTGTTTCTCCATTCAGTCTTCTCTGAAATACTATCCAACCACCGCCGTCTGTAGTTTGGTCACAGTAAACTTCAAAACCTTGTTTAAGTCCGTATATTCCATTTGGTAATTTGCTAAATTTGCTTAACGAACGACAGGATGAACTTTGAAATAAGTAACCTATGTAAGAAAATAAATAAGTAACAAGCGATTCAATGTTTTTAATTTGTTTAGACATATTCTCAGTGTTTAGTTGTACCTGTTCCACCTTACTATTTAACACTTTCCGGTCGTTTTCAGACGATATAATATCGTCTTCTGACACCGTCCTAAAGTTGGTTAATAATTGATCAGTATTATTAACAGCGATTTTGCAATAACTTTTAACATCTTCGTTGAGGGATATCAAATTATTTTCAATCTTTGGAATGTCCCGTCGGAACCTTTTAGCCTCAGACTTTACCTTGTTGAATGCAGCCCTGAGTCTAGTAATATCCTCTTTCAATGTATCGACTGTTTCAAAATCAATCTTACTAGCTTTTGTCGCCGCTGGAGGTATAGAATATTCTTTTCCAATGGTCGCATTTAACACTTTATCGATGTCATTTAGTCGCAATGTTATTTCAGCAATATCTTCGTCTCTGAGTGTAAATTCGAAGTTAAGTCTAGTTTCTAAATGTTTGACAATTGACTTTAATCGATTAAGTTCTTTTGTTGAACTTGTCAAACCAATGACATATACCACGAGAAGAAAAACTTTTACTTTGCCAAAAAACTGCATATTCCTATTTGTTTTCAACCTTTCTAAAATCTAGTACACACGATTCGTCTTAATATGTTTTATGATAATTTTATAAACAACTTGAAACAATCACAGTTCTTTATTAATAGGAATGAATTTTATGTTGATACCGTTTGTTCAATATTCATTGGAATAATGGTGATAAAAGTTATCGTCATACATTCTTTATATTTCTAAATCTAAAGAGACTTTATTGTTGTTTTTGGTGTGTTTCATTTTCATTTATATCAAGTAGGCACTTAATTGCTCTTAGTTTCAAATCGGATGTTGGCTTTTTTCTTGCCTCTCAAAAGAAAAACTACTTTTTATTCGAACAAGTAGGAGCCAATTACATTATATGTCTTACGTTTTAAGGAGAGGTACTTATTGTACGTGGTACAATTATATCACTTACGCTTATTTAATAATAACTATATTACACAGAGTAAAATGTTTTTTAAAATGTGTAGTCATTAGAGCCAAACCTAACAAGTATATATTTTTGTTTTACATAATGTCGCTTATTTTTCATGTAATTTATAACCTTTGCCTATCACTTAATAATATATACAAATGGTCCAAGAAACAGTAATTTTGCACATTTTCCATAATAAAAATTTCAAACGCATTTAGTTAAATAACTCCAGAGGCTGTGAATAATTTCTCAGAAATGACACGAGCTAAATGATTGTTTCTAAACAAAATGTTTTTGTTAGTTTTTGTTATATGTATAAAAATGTTGCCCTACCCCACCACCAACTCCACCAACTTTAAAGACTTATTTGACCATTTCTTCATATTAAAAGCCTTATTCAAAATATACTTAAAGATACCATAAGGGCGGGCTGTTTTCAAAGTTTGCCTAAATTTTCTTAAACGAATATTGGCTGATCATGCGATATGTAAAATATTTTTACCGTGTAGTTTTATTTTATTAAACTTTGAAAATATCAGGTATTATATTTGCTATGAAAATTTGCATTTTATAGCAAATAAATACCTACAATAATTATATAATTAAAAACAAATACTTTTTTCTTCCATAAGTACGGTGGCACAAAGTTGACATGTGTGTGTGCACGAGATACTATGTCGTTGCCACGAGTTGCTAAGTCATGGCCACGAGATAGCTAAGTCGTGGCCACGAGATACTATGTCGTGGCCACGAGTTACTAAGTCGTGGCCACGAGATAGCTAAGTCGTGGCCCAGGATGCTATGTCGTGCCCACGAGATAATTAACCAATATGAATACATTACATATATTTTGAATTTTTTAAACTTAACAACTTACTTTTACATGCAATTTTAATCTTCGAAAATACTGAATATATTCACTTTGAACTTGTCTTTAGGATGATATTAGAAAGTCACCTTCCAAGGCCAATCAGACATTACTTTTGACTAAAGCCCTTTGTTCGGACAATTTCGTGATCGAATTGGTCAGTGTGTACGTACTACGGCCTGTTAACCTTGTTTATACGATAACATGAGAAGGAATATGTTCTGGTTTATTTAATTTGGAAGGGACATTGCCCATGGACAGTAAATAGCCTATAAGGTAAAATCCTTGTCTGATGAATAATTAAGAAGGATAAGCCATGGTTTATTTAACCCAGAAAGACCATTGCACCTGATCAGTAGATGACATCTAGTAATGTCGAGGTCATTTGGGTAAAAAAATCAGGGGCACAGTGACGCTAAATGTAAAGTTATTGACAAATCAATAAGTAGTATAAATGGCACTTTGATCAGTAGATGACATCTAGTAATGTCGAGGTCATTTGGGTCAAAAAATCAGGGGCACAGTGACGCTAAATGTAAAGTTATTGACAAATCAATAAGTAGTATAAATGGCACTTTTACAGGCTGGTGAAGTAGGGGCATCCTTGTACTACAGCACATGTCTAGTTATTTAAGGAAATTCCTATAAATGGTTTAATCTGATTGGTTATTTATCTCGTGGCAACGACTTAGCTATCTCGTGGCCACGACTTAGTAGCTCGTGGCCACGGCATAGTATTTCGTTGCCACGATATAGTGTCTCGTGGCCACGACTTAGCTATCTCGTGGCCATGACTTAGTAACTCGTGGCCACGACATAGTATACCGTGGCCTTGACTTAGCTATCTCGTGGCAACGACTTAGTAACTCATGGCCACGACTTAATAACTCGTGGCCACGACATAGTATCTCGTGGCCACGACTTAGCTATCTCTTTGACACGATTTAGTAACTCGTGGCCACGACATAGTATTTTGTGGCCACGACTTAGATATCTCGTGGCCACGACTTAGTAACTCGTGGCCACGACATAGTATCTCGTTCGCACGAGATAAATAAAGACACACACATGTCACCTTTGTGCCACCGTACATGAAAGATATGATGTATACATAAATAATGTTAAAATGAAAAAAGGAAAGAAAAAAGTTGCCCCTTCTGAGGTTTGAACCCAAGCACCTCAATTTCAATGTAGTTGACAAGTGATTTTAGCCTATTTGAATATTCTTCAAAGTAGAGGTAATGCATTACCCATGGTCTACCTTAAGTGTAATACGAGATTCTCAGCACCGGTGTTAACAGTACTTAATCCTGTCTGATATGCAAGAATGCAAAATCAGTCATTCATTGCAGGTAGCTTAAATTATTACTTCAATTGTGAATATGTGTGCTTATTTTAAAATCTTAGTACATTTAGGTTTATTTTCTTGATATTTTGGACTCATCTGGGGGTATGCAACTTTACAGTCTCATCCGAAAAACTTGTCAAATATAAAACCTGGAACTTGGTGATAAAGCTTGTGACCCCGGCTTATAAGAGTGTGTTACTATTACATCTCTGTGTTCGCACTAGTAAACTTTTATGCTTAAGGCCATATTCATGTAGCTTATATCGTCCATATCAAGGTCATTTTTATTAAGCCAAAATTATGCTTGTTTTATCCATATCCTCTCCGTTCAGCCAAGAAGATGTTCGCATAACTAATTATATCATTACTTCATATAACAGTACCATGTCTGCGTAGGTAAAGGCGTTCTGATTTAAATTAATGTGAACTCGTATATATAGATCATGTATCCGTAAGCCATATTCGTACAAATCAGTTTTTTGTCCGTGTAATTGAAATCATTATCATGTCTGTATAATAGAAATCATGACTGTGTCCGTATAGTTAAAATCATGAACGTGTCCGTATAATCAAAATCATGACCGTGTCTGTTTTAAATGAAATCATGAACGTGTCTGTATAGTTGAAATCATGACTATGTCCGTATTCTTGAAATCATGACTGTGTCCGTATTCTAAAAATCATGACCGTGTCCGTATAATATATAGTCTTGAACATGTCCGTATAATCAAAATCATGAACGTGTCCGTGTATTTTAAATCATGACTGTGTCCGTATACTTGAAATCATGACCGTGTCCGTATAATATAAATCATGACAGTGTCCGTGTAATCAAAATTATGGTCGTGTATATATAATTGAAAAACAGGAACGTGTCCGTATAAGTGAAATCATGACCGTGTCCGTATGATTTATATCGCTGTTTTAATACATTAATACATGTCCAGAAATGCAGAATATGTCCATAAAAACAATTCAAATAATGGAACAGATTGTCCGTAGAAGTGGATTAATCAGTGACTTAATCCGGTTACAGATATATAAACATGAGATGCGTAGATGGATATTCTTATATTATGCCACGTGTACTATCAGTGATTAATAGTCCAGCTTCTAATCTAATCTGATTTTAATTTAAATGCCATATTGCCAAATAAGTTGTTGGGAATTTTT